AACAATTATTGCAATCCTTATACAGGTTTCTCCAAATACAATGTCACATCTTTAAATTGAAATAAAACACAAACTATCTGAGATATTTCAGGTTTCTTTATTTTAACATAAAGTCCACTTCGTAGCATTAATCGTGGAACACGATGTCATTCGAATTTACCGCCTTTTTTTCACAACCCCGACTCGTTTTACCCAATTTGCAATTACACTGTTACATAATTGGGATTCTGCTTCATTAATTACGACTATAATATTGTTTTTTTAGCTCGTAAATCGTTTGTGGTGTATTCACGTAAATTTTACTTTTTAAAAAACCCCAGATAAAATGACAAATGGAGTTAGATCGCATGATCTTGGGGGGCCAGTTGGTGTCTCCTCCTCGTGAAATCAGGCGTCGAAAACAAGCTCGAACGGAACTTGAATGTTTCTAATAATTTTCAACAATTTGTACACGTTGTTGCACAGTGTAGCGTTTCATGATAGTTTGATTATGTTTAGTGAATCAAACCGTTTAGCAGTCTCGTCTGTTGAAAGATGCGACACTCAATTTGGATAATCCTATACTACTTTTACGTAACTATAGAGTTTTATCCTCGCCGAACGGAATATCTTCCCCACTCTAATATATTGTTTGCAGAAATGGTCTTGGAGCATGAACAATTGCAATTTACGAATATGTTTTGTGAGTTTAAAGCGGGTCGTAACATTGCAAAAGTTATTTATAAGCTGCAAAAATCTTAGGGCGACTATGCAAAAGATTAAGAGATTTCGTTGGAGAAATACAAGTCTCGAAGATGGAGAACGTTGAGAATAGAAACCAAATAGAAACGTTTTCAAAGGAATATAATAGTAGATTATATAGATATGATATAATGGTAGAAGAAAGCCCATGGAAATTAATTCGAGGGTATGCATCACAATTCCGAGTGGGCAATTCAATTATTCTGGACCATTTAAAAGTTATAGAGGAAGTGAACAAAAAAAACGAATTGAATGGGCGTCGCATGAATGAAACGAAGAGCAACAAAACGGGCGTATGGAGGTCTGCTCGTCTCTGATTATTCGGCACAAATACGATCATTTTCTGAATCGCATTATAACTTTCACAGCGGTTAAATCGCGATGAAGCTCCGAGGTATAATCCGAAGGGCTATGGTCGTCGACGCTTTTTAAAGCTTTGTTAATTTTAGGACACAAAAATTCATTAAAAATTCATTAAAAACGATGCAAGATATTTTTATCGATTTGCAATGAATAGAATATATTTCTTACAAAGAATTTGTTATTATTATTAACGGTAAGGTTTATGAAGAGAAAGCATCGCAGAAACAATCAGCATGATCAGTATTATAAACAATTCTTTAATTTTGCAAACATTTTTCCCTTTTCCTGTGGCAACTATAGAAATATTCACTGATAATTATCAGTTAATTGTGATTAACTTTTACTTTTAACATTGCTGCAATACGTTTCGACATTAATCTGGTTAAATTTCATCTCATCGCTCAACGATACTCTTTCGTCGATATTTTGATTAAAAATCGATATTTTTTGTAGACAAGAATCTTCATATTTTTTTTTAAAAATGATCTCTGATAATTTCGTTCGCGCAGAATATTTCTGTTATGTTTGTTTTTACTGAGCCTCAACATTTTCACATTTTACAATTAAATAAATAATGAAGAATAAAATAATTGATATACAGGGTGTTCAGTTACCTCTGGGAAAAATTTTAATGGAAGATTGTAGAAGCCAAAATATGACAAAAATAAAAAATACCAATTTGTTGATGGAGGCTTCGTTAAAAAGTTATTAACATTTAAAATTTTGCCTGTAGAGAGGCAGTCTGCAAAAAGTTACACGTTGTTTGCACTCTGAATCATTAAAATCCATCAATCTGTCCAGAAGTTATGATATTTTAAACATACGCATGAAATTTCAGGATAATATTCCTACCAACACATTATATTTTCCATAAAGAATTTTTTTGTCCAAAATGCGTAGAATTTCGAGGGTGTGTCTATAGACCAAAAATGGTTGTAATTGACTTCTGCAATAGAAAATAATTTTTTCAGAATGATTGGAATTTTTTTAATTTCGGTAAAAAATTTGTTTCACCTACTCGAATTTTTTTCTCGAAACTGCGTAAAATTTCGGGGGTAAGTCTATTGACCATAAATGATTGTAATTGACATCTGCAATAGAAAATAATTTTTCCAAAATGATTTGGAACATTTCAAATTCGCCGAAAAATTTCTCCACCTACTCGAATTTTTTTCTCGAAACTGCATAGAATTTCGGGGGTATGTCTATTCACCAAATATAATTGTAATTGACCTCTGCAATAGAAAATAATTTTTTCAAAACAAATTGACACTTTTCAAATTCGCCGAAAAATTTCTCCACCTACTCGAATTTTTTTCTCGAAACTGCGTAGAATTTCGGGGGTATGTGTATCCACCAAATATAATTTTAATTGACCTCCGCAGCCGAAAATAATTTTTTCAGAATGATTTGACACTTTTCAATTTCGCAGAAAAATTCAGGCACCTACACTATATCAATTTCTCTTAAAAATTAGTTTTTGATTTTTAATAAATTTGTTTGACGCGCTACGAAAAAATTGTTTAGTACTTTTTCGTAGGTATCTATGAGCTTTACTTCTCCCCGAAATTTCATTGAAATATATTCACTATTGTAGGAATTATAGTCGTTTGAAATTTGCATTTTTTTTTATGTGGTTTTCCTCACTTTATGGGGTTAAGGAACAATTTTTCCAACATTCTTAGAATTTCTACATATTCTTCATTAAAATACGCGTTATTTGCATTTTGTAACATTAAAATCGACCAATCCGTTCAGAAGTTATGACGTTTTTAAGATACGCATGAAATTTCGGGGCACCATTAGACATTATATTTTCGGTAATGAATTTTTTTCTCGAAACTGCGTAGGATTTCGAGGGTATGTCTATTCACGAAATATAATTGTAATTGACCTCTGCAATAGAAAATAATTTTTTCAAAACAAATTGACACTTTTCAAATTCGCCGAAAAATTTCTCCACCTACTCGAATTTTTTTCTCGAAAATGCGTAGAATTTCGGGGGTATGTCTACCCACCAAATATAATTTTAATTGACCTCCGCAGCCGAAAATAATTTTTTCAGAATGATTTGACACTTTTCAATTTCGCAGAAAAATTCAGGCACCTACACTATATCAATTTCTCTTAAAAATTAGTTTTTGATTTTTAATAAATTTGTTTGACGCGCTACGAAAAAATTGTTTAGTACTTTTTTGTAGGTACCTATGAGCTCTACTTCTTCCCAAAATTTCATTGAAATATATTCACTATTGTAGGAATTATAGTCGTTTGAAATTTGCATTATTTTTATGGGGTTTTCCTCACTTTACGGGGTTAAGGAACAATTTTTCCAACATTCTTAGAATTTCTACATATTCTTCACTAAAATACGCATTGTTTGTATTTTGAAACATTAAAATCGTCCAATCCGTTCAGAAGTTATGACGTTTTAAAGATACGCATGAAATTTCGGGGCACCATTAGACATTATATTTTCGGTAATGAATTTTTTTCTCGAAACTGCGTAGGATTTTGAGGGTATGTTTATTCATCAAAAATGCTTATAATTGACCCCTGTAATAAAGTATAATTTTATTAGTATAAATTTGAAATTTTTTAATTTCGTCTAAAAATTTCAGCACCTACTCGAATTTTTTTCTGGAAACTGCGTAGGATTTCGAGGGTATGTCTGTTCACCAAAAATGATCATAATTAATCCTTGTAATCGAAAATAATTTTTCCAGAATGATTTGAAATTATTTAATTATGCCGACAAACTCGTCCACATCCCTGAATTTTTTTCTCGAAAATGTGAGGAATTTCGAAGGTAAATGTATTCACCAAATATGACTATAATTAACCCCCGCAACTGAAAATAATTTTTCTAGAATAATTTGAAACTTTTCAATTTCGCCGAAAAATATAGGCACCTACCCCCTGTTAATTTGTCTTAAAAATTCGTTTTTGATTTTTAGTAATTTCGTTTGACACCCTACAGAAAAGTTGTCTAATACTTTTTTGTAGGTACCCATGAGCTCTACTTCAGAAAAAAGTTTCGTTAAAATATATTCGCTATTGTAGAAGTTATGGCTGTTTGAAAATTAGACCATTTGTTATAAGGTTTTTCTCACTTTACGAGGTCAAGGAACAACTTTTTCAATATTATTAGAATTTCTACATATTCTTCACTAAAATGCACGTTATTTGCATTTTGAAACATTAAAATCCTTCAATCCGTTCAGAAGTTATGACGTTTTAAAGATACGCATGAAATTTTGGGGTAACATTTCTGGTCATTCATTGTATTTTCGGTAAGAAATTTTTTTCTCGAAACAGGTTAGAATTTCGAGGGTACGTCTATTGACAAAAAGTGATTGTAATTGACCCCCACAGCCAAAAATATTTTTTCCAGAACAATTTGAAATTTTTTTTTATTTTGCGGTCGGTATCTAATTTTAAATGTTAATAACTTTTCAACGAAGCCTCAATCAACAAATTGCTATTCTTGATTTTCGTCTTATTTTGGTCTCTAGAATGCCCTATTAAAATTTTTCCCGGGGGTGGTCGAACACCCTGTATATACTACATTAAAGCATGGAGTCTAATTAACGAAAATATTAAGTATATTCATTTGACTGCAACGTTTTTTATCAAATAAATTTTAGAAAAAACAGTGTTTAATTTTGACTTTAACATTCAAACGGACCAGGTAGTCGCGAATCGAAAGGACGAAATATTTAAATCGAATCTTTGGGTCTTCGAAGAGGGGGGCGATCGATCGAGGATTATTTCGCTGGGAAATCCAATTATCGAAACGATAGTCAGAGTTTCGGGTTGCAACTCTGTAGGGACTACGAAAACGCGATCCTGGGGGGTAAAAAGGACGAAGGGAAGAACAAGGCGGAGAGACTCACCCGCGTTTCACGAAGTTTGCCAAGTAGTGGACCAGCAGTTTGGATAGTTTCTCATCGGCCGAAGTGTAGTTGATCGGGGCGGACAAAACGGACACAACCTCTCCCCGGAGAAGAGGTATCCCTAGGAGATAGGGTACCTCCTCGCCCCTCTGGCTCGGTCGATCGCCAAGCTGGAAATGGAGGAAGTAGCCACGGCCCCCGGAGGCAGAATGCAGCAACGCCAGCCTCAGAAGCGGTGCTGCAACTTGGCCGTCCCCGAGGAGCGACAGCAGGCCCTCGCAAATGGCCGACGGACTCTGCTCGCCTCTCTCCCAGTCCGTATACTCGTTACGGAGGGTCGAGTAGATCTCGTGAAGGTGGTAACGGTAGGTGTTTCGCACGTAGGTGCGTAGAATACGATCCCTCCTGGTCTCGTTCAAGCCGTTCTGCAATCACACCGAGTGAAATTCTCTGTTAGCTTGTAGCGGCCATTTTATAGCCACTACGCCATTGCCAGCGTATAGAATGGGAATGGAATGTAAGGATAGTTTTAAGCTTTCTATTCTTCCATTCGCCCAGGGTCTGGGTTAGGTCTGGGTTAGGTTAGGTCTGGGTTAGGTCTGGGTTAGGTTAGGTCTGGGTTAGGTCTGGGTTAGGTCTGGATTAGGTCTGGGTTAGGTCTGGGTTAGGTCTGGATTAGGTCTGGGTTAGGTCTGGGTTAGGTCTGGATTAGGTCTGGGTTAGGTCTGGGTTAGGCCTGGGTTAGGCCTGGGTTAGGACTGGGTTAGGTCTGGGTTAGGTCTGGGTTAGGTCTCCCATTGCATCAAAAAATGCAGGTACTCTTGTATTAAAATCATGACGACCAACAACAAATAATGTATACTGTGTCAAGCTAATATCGGATAATATTAATAAAAAATATTGAAATAGAAAATCTAACCTGAACCTAATCCATCATATTAATTACTAGGTAGAATAGTTAGGTCTGGGTTAGGTCTGGGTTAGCTTGTAGCGGCCATTGTATTATCCACTACGCCCTTGCCAGGGTATGAATGGGAATGGAATGTAAGGATAGTGTTAAGCTTTCTATTTTTCCATTTTCACAGGGTCTCGTGCGACCCTGGTCCTCCTGTTAAACACTGGGTTAGGTCTGGGTTAGGTTAGGCCTGGGTTAGGTCTGGGGTAGGTCTGCGTTAGGTCTGGATTAGGTCTGGGTCAAGTCTGGGTTAGGTCTGGGATAGCTTGTAGCGGCCATTGTATTATCCACTACGCCCTTGCCAGGGTATGAATGGGAATGGAATGTAAGGATAGTGTTAAGCTTTCTATTTTTCCATTTTCACAGGGTCTCGTGCGACCCTGGTCCTCCTGTTAAACACTGGGTTAGGTCTGGGTTAGGTTAGGCCTGGATTAGGCCTGGGTTAGGTCTGGGTTAGGTCTTGGTTAGGTCTCCACGCACCCGTTTGGTTGTCCAGGCGGCAGGGGAGGTGAACCCCTACGTGGCGCGACCCCGGGTGGCGGATAGGGGCAGCCGCTGGGATGGGATGCGGGGATGAGGACATCAACCTGAGAAAGCTGGTGTCTGCATCCTCGCATAGCATCCCGGAGGTCTGGGTTAGGTCTTACACATACTGTCCTCCGCTCACTTGAAGTCCCGCGGAAGGAATGCGGGAGAAGTAGAAGAGGCACACGTATTCCCACGCACACATTGGTCTCTAGCTCGCTATTCGTCGCGGCAGTTACACACACATGTGGACTGCCTGAGAGCAAGTGAGCAAGACAGATAAATGGGCGGTCCGACTCCCCTTGGCCCTGTGCCGTCACGCGGGACTTCAAGTGAGCGGAGGACAGTACACATACTACGTACCTTAATACACATACTGCGCGCCTTAATACAGAAAGGACCCCTTACAATCGCTATTTGGTTCCACTATCTTCATATTTCCTTCTACCTTTTTTTTTATTTTTTCCTTATACTTAATGTTTTTTTTTTCTTTTCTTGTTCTTCTTCTATTATATCACATACATGCGTTTATTATGATTATTATGTTTAGTATTATTCTATGTTTTGTTATTTTCTTTCTCTTGGAGCTAACCCATACATGTACTTGATTATTTTAATGCAATCTGAGGGAGTGACAATAAAGAAAGAGCAACTCCGACTTAAAATGGAACCCCACCCTCGGGCTTCTCTTGATGGTGGGTGAATTGCGTGCCCATTTGTCACCAGGATTTTCCTGTGTGGGGGTCAGTGGTGGGTTCTTTTTTCTTTTTTTTTTTAAATATACCTAACCCAGACCTAACCCAGAGCCGTTCGAGGCGTCTGTTTTCCTTCAAGGTTTCGTCTGTGCCTTGGACCACCCCGATCGCTAAGTATTTTCCGTCTTTTTGTCCTATCTCTTTTTCTCTACCTTTACTATTAGGGTATGTAAGCCACAAGAGCGCGTACGGCACCAAGGACCTCCCTGACCGTTGGTTTATGGCGCTTAGCCTGAGCGAGACCCGTAGTCGCCAAGGTTAGTGAAAGCGCTCAGTCGGATTGCACATGGCCCACCCAAGCGGTGGGTCCCGTTTTTCCAAATTGAGGAAAGAGGAGTCAGTCGAGCTAGGCCCGCGGTAAGGGGCAGTTGAAATAAAAGATAACCGTCCTCAGTAGCTCTTCGCATTTTTGTATACGCTTTCTGCCCTATCCCGTTTTCGACCATCCTTACAGTAATGTTATGGTTATCCTTTCTTTACCTTTCGTTCTTGATACCGCCGCCGACATGGTAAAAAGTTCGAAATTCGATCATATCGAATGGCATTGCCTGTCGGAGGGGAACACAATACAACGTCCATTAACGATAAACCTGCCAAGGCCGATCGAACGATCGTTTTTAAAATTTCGTTTAAAATTTATAACATACAATGTTATTTTTGAGCCATTTAACTTCGTGACTTTTCCTATACTGTATGTGTAATGGACAGTTCAATGTTCACTTCTATTCTTATTGCTTGTTTTTTGAGAAAAGTAAGGTGGCTGTCTTGTTTTGTAGAAACAGGGACAAAATTTGACTTATTAAATTCTGGAAATAGGAAATCAAATACATATTAAATAGGAAATATGTAGCAAAGATGAAAGGAGAGAATCTTTAGTTTCTACTGTCTTAGAACAGTCTAACAATGCGTATTAAAAATAGCTAAATTTTACACATGTATTAGAAGCAACAGGGCATCCCTTTTAAAATTAAATATTGTAGTTTGAATGAAGGAATCATTCTCTCTCTATCTATCTATCTATCTATCTATCTATCTATCTATCTATCTATCTAACTCTCTCTCTCTCTCAGACGTGAATCGTGACAAAGAAGACCAAGTAACGTAGTGTTTACTATTTACTAAGAGTGCGTGCGGTCAATGACCTCGCCAAGCTCGTAGTGAAAGTTCATTGCCCTCTCAACGTAAACAATGAAAAGTAAACAAACAGATTTTTAGAATGCATGCTTTAAGAGAAGATATGCAACATAAAAGAGGAAGATATTTTACGAATAAACATCAAAACACAACTTCCTATACATACATATAATGTAAAAATTAGAAATACATTGCCTAGTAAAAGAAAAAAAAAAGAAAGATTGATCATTTGACCAATCATGGTAACAATGAGTATACATGAAGTGTCGGTAAATTCAATATTAAACGCGTTGCACAAAACTATAATCGAACATTTTGGTAACTTTTCTTTATAATTGTCAAACCATGAAAGATATCGACACGAAACTTGAACTGAAAAACTTTGAGTTGTTTAGAAAATTAACTACCTCGTCGACTTTTTATAAGATCGAAATACGTTGGCAAATATATTATTTTGAACATCTATTTTTGAAAAATATTTTGGATTCTGTGCAAACTTTATAGTCACGTTGAGGTTCTAGAGTATGTTAATAAATGGAGCTTGGCACTTGTCGATTGTCGACAAGAAAGTTTAACGACAGTTGCTTTCGAGTCACTGAAAGAGATACACGTGTTTTCATCGATCCATTCGTTGCGATTAAAACTTATATTCCGATGATGTGACGAGGCCGAAGTAACGCTCGTAGTTCCTTCACAATTGATGTCGGAAGCGAGATTAGGTAGATTTTATTAAACGCAAACTTTCAACTGTACCCGTTCCAGCACGAGAAATTGTAAAATAGTAATTATAAATAGATCGTTTGTAGGTCATGCGAATCAAACGTCAAAAGCATAAATAATGAATACAGTAATGATTCTTTAAGTGAACCCTCAGACGTGATTCGTAAGCTGAGCGTTTCTGTCCCTTCTAAATTGGGGGAAACACAATCCTTTGTGGAAAGCATTTAAAGGGTTACACCACTGTAGAATTATCAAAAACTCGATTTTTTTTTAATTAGTTTAATTTTTTTCTCGAAAGTGGGTAGGATTTCAGGGGTATGTGTATCCACCAAAAATGATTGTAATTGACCCATGCAACCGAAAATAATTTTTTCAGAATGATTTAAAACACTTGAAATTTCAGGGGAATCACACATTCATGATCAGACATTATATCTTCAATAATGCATTTTTTTCTCGAAAGTGGGTAGGATTTTGGGGGTATGTGTATCCACCAAAAATGATTGTAATTGACCCATGCAACCGAAAATAATTTTTTCAGAACGATTTGAAACACATGAAATTTCAGGGGAATCACACATTCATGATCAGACATTATACTTTCAGTAATGAATTTTTTTCTCGTAAGTGGGTAGGATTTTGGGGGTATGTGTATCAACCAAAAATGATTGTAATTGACCCCCTCGACCGAAAATAATTTTCCCAGAACGATTTGAAATGTTTTAATTTTGTCGAAAAATTTGTTCACCTTCCTGAATTTTTTTCTCGAAAGTGCGGAGAATTTCGAGGATATGTCTATTCACCAAAACTGATTGGAATTGACCCCGTCAACCGAAAATAATTTTTCCAGAATGATTTGAAACTTTTCAATTTCGCCGAAAGGCACCCACTTGTCGATTTTTCTTAAAAATTTGTGTTTCATTTTTAATAAATTTGTTTGACATCCTACGGAAATTTTGTTTAGTACTTTTTTGTAGGTATCCATAAGCTCTACTTCCATACTAAATTTCATTGAGATACGTTCACTATTGTAGAAGTTATGGAGATTTGAGGCTATTAAGTAATTTCGTGAGTCTTAAGGGGTTACACCACTGTAGAATTATTAAAGATAAATATTAAAAGATGCTTTGAACCTTCTATAATAAGGGGGAAAAAGTTTTGTGCTTGTACAAAATTTTTTTCTTTGAAATTCCGAGCGATTTCCGATGTGCGTCGAACTGCTCCGAAACGAGTGCTTGCGTATGTGTATAAGTAATCCAAGTAATACATTATGTACTTCGTTCTTACCTATCATAAATTAATAGTATATATATACATGTTTCATTAAATAATGAGT